GGTTCCAGGAAATGATTTACTCACGAGGAATAGCAAGCTAGATAGCTGGGAAATGGCAGGACCTGACCTTGACCTTGAAGCGGTCTGTTCCAGCTTGTACCTGCCCCCGAGTGGACTCCTGGAGGGAAGGCTGGGGCTATTGGACTGGTTTCACATATGAGGAAGCTGAGGGGCAGAGAGCAAAAACAAAGGCTGTGGAAGGAGACTTGGCACAGGAAGGAAAGTCTCTGAGCGCAGTGGGGCCCTGGCAGAGGTGTTCCTGAAGGATCTGAACTTGAATATATCAGGTACAGGCCTCTGAGACATGCCCTATGCCCAGATATAGTTACAGAAGAAATATGAAAGACTGAATTTCATATGTAAAGGAAATGAAGCTTAAAGGCAAATGACAGCACACCTGTATTCCCAGCTCTCGGGAGATGGAGGCAGGAAGGTCAGGAGTTCAAGGTTATCCTGGGCTATATAGTGACTTTGAGGGCAACCTGGGCTACATGAAACACTACCTCAAAAAAAATGTGATTTTTAAAAATATTTTATTATTTTTATTTTTTATGTGTATGAGTGTAATGGCTGTACGTATGTGAGTGCACCCATGTTGTGCAATGCCTCGGAGGTCAGAAGAGAGTTTCAGATTCCCCTGGAACTGGAGTTAAAGACGGTACATAGCTGCCATGTGGGTGCTGGGAATCAAACCCAGGTCCTCTGCAAGAGCAGTCAGTGCTCTTAACTGCTAAGCCTCTCTCCAGACTGTGATTTTTTTTAAAAATGCAGGCAAGAGGCAAACTAGGAGGCCCATAAAACATGGGGTACTTTGTCCCTGCTGATTATAATGTGTCATAAGCTGTAGACACCTCAAGGTTCCGTCCTCGTCCTCTTGAGTTACTGTCCAAGTATGCATCTCTGATGCCCGACAGAGCAACACACCCAACACCCCGACTCACAGTGCCCAGGATGGAATCCCTATTTCGACCCCCACAGGAGCCTCTGAAGGGCTGGGAGTGGGTTGGAGCTAGACTGAGGGTACAGTGGGTGATAGTCAGAGAAAGGTGTGTGCAAAAAGTTCCCCTAGTGCTGGACAAGAAGAGGAAAACTAGTAAGCTGAAACAAAAGGAAATTCCAGTAAAAGGCATCTAGGCTTCTAGAGGGTATAGTGGCTTGGGGTGGGGGGGTGCGACCCTCAGAGCCTCTCTCTCCTACACCAGGGCAAGAGCAACATTCAGGGGGCCCAGGAACTCACATTGAATTAGTGAGAAGGTCCCAGAAAACCCATAACTGCCTTTAGAGTCCTCCATGACCACTTAGTTGTGAGGTAGGGGGTAAACTGGCACACCCCCACCCCCCACCTCCCAGGGACTCAGGGGGCACATACTAAAATCCAAAGATAGCAGAGGTGAAGGGAAATAAGGCAGGGGGGCAAGTTTCCTACCCCTGGGGCTCCTCAGCTCCTTCCCCATTGATCCACAAAGATCACAATTCATTCTCTCTCGCTCTCTCTCTCTCTCTCTCTCAACCACTCTTCACTCTCTTGTTTGGGCCAAATAGGATGGCAAGTTTGCACTTGTGCTCCAGCCCTCCACATAATCGGTGGCAGCACGGCTGCTCCAAAGGGAGGGGTCTACCAGTGGAATGAAGGAGAGAGAAACTCTTAAGAGTGACGGGGCGGGAAGGGACCTTGGGCATCCTCTGACCCAACCTTTCTGTGGCCTGTGGCTTCCACACCATTCCCATGACCTGTGTGCTCACCTCACCGACCACCTCCGTCTTTCTTTCACGTCACACAAGAGGCCTCCCCAGGCTGCCTTCTCCAGGCTTCCCTAGGGCAACTGCCCTCTTTGCCTCTGCTAGCAAATCAATCGACCCTCTTGTTTTCTAGCTGAGGAAACTGAGGCCCATTGGGATGGAACTTGAAGCTAAGAGGAATCTCTAAGTACAGCCAGGAAGGAAACCCAAAGCCTCTCCATTTAATCCTTGGAAAGGGAAAAAGGCTCAGCTCTTCTCCACCCCAGCTGATGTGCGCTGCCAATGTCAAGGGTTTGACACTCCAGTCACCTTTAAGGAGGCCTTGGCCATCGTCCATTCTTCTGGGTACCTTGTGATGATAGGATGAGTTCTAATGGCCTCTAACCTGCAGAAAATTGGCTCTGGAGCAGGACTCTGGGGCCTGGTATAAATACAAAGAAAGTGATGGGGTTTCAGGGATAGCATCCAGCCTCCCCCTACCCCCTCTCCAGGCTTATTATTGTCCTTATTTTAAACATATCCTCTGCAGCCTGTGAAATTAAAGGGAGAGAAGGTTAGAGTCAGCTGTGGAAACAGGCTTGGCTCAGTGGACCGAGCTTTCTCTGCGTCTCTGCATTACCCCCACCCCCTTCCAGACTGACCGTGGGTAAGCCTCTGCCAGTGTCCTGGACAGGAGAGTGCGCATGCCAGCGGCACTGGGTAGGGGGTCTCAGTGGGCTGGTCTCCATCACCTTGACTTGCCAACAGTCTGCCCTCCTCCGGCCCTTAGACTCAGCTCTAGGTATGGGATGGAATCCAGAGGGTGGGAAGTGACGACGTAAGGAGTAAGAAGAGTTGGGACTTGGCTCTGTGTTTTCGAGGTGCTCCGTGCCCTGCGTCCCGCGTGTCAGGGGGTTCGCGTGTCGCTCGTGCATCCAGGTCGACCCCAGCCTCCCAGAAACCCTCTTTGTCTGCCCGCGGAGGTGCGCGTGCAGACCCGCGCCGCGCGGCCCTCCTGGCGTGCCGGCGCAGGGGGCGCACCCTTGCTTCTCCCGGCTCTCCACCCCGCTGGGAGAAGGGGGGACGAGCCGCAGAGCCCCGGTGCTGTTTGGTCTGGAGCGGAGCGGGGCTTGCATTGATCCATTGATTGTGCACGGTCTGCGCCTGACCTCCCTGCTCCCGGGGAAGCCGTCTCCATGGAGACCGGGCCCGCTCCCCCAGCGCCGGATTGTAAATTCCTGCAGGCAGCGGCCCGGCAGCCTGGGGAGGGGGCCGCCGCGCCCGGGCGCGCAGGGGGAGCGGCCGCCACGCCGGGGCCCCCTTTGAAAGAAGAAAAAAAAAGGGGGGGCACGAGAAAGGAGGTGGAGGAGGAGGAGGACAAGGAGGAGGGGGAGTGGGAGGTGGAAGAACACGAAAGGGAGCAAGGAGAGGAGGAGAAAGGCGAAGGAAAACAGACCGAGGCGAGGGGAAGAAAGAGGCAGAAGGGCGTGTTTCTGCTGCCTTTCCCCTCCCCTTTCTCAGGTCCCTCGCTCGTGCTCGGCGCGCTCAGCGGTTGCTGCTCCCTCCGGGCGAAGCTGGGCATCGGGTGGGATCCTCCGGAGCAGCCCCGCCGACCCCGCCCGCCCGCCCGGCCCGAGCTGCCCCTTCGCCGGCTCCCCGCGCGCCTCCCGCCCCGCGCGCTACCCGACGTTCGGCCCCACAGCAGCCCCCGGAGCCCCCGGCCCGGCCCCGGCGGGGCGCCCTCCCCTCCCCCTCCGGTTTGTGCGGGGACCCGGCCCGGCCTTCCACCCTCCCGGGGGCCGCGACCCCGGCCCCCGCCGCCCCTTCGTCCCGCGCTCCAGCCATGGGCTCGGGGTGCGTCCCCGGGCTCTGCCTGCTCGTCCTGCTGGTCTACGCCCGCGCCGCCCAGCACGGCAAAGCAGCGCAAGGTAAGCTGGGCTGCGGGACAGCGGGACAGCCCCGGGTGGGACCGGATCACCCAGGGCCAGGGCAGGTGCCGGGAAGTGGTGCCCCCCGACTCCCGGGTGGAAGGGCTAGACCTCCGGGCGCTGCGCGCGTCGGGCAGAAAAGCCTGGAGGAGCTGAGGGCGGGAGGAATAAGGGAGAAGTTTCAAGGGGGCGATGGGCTGAAGTGAGCGTGCGCCCCCGAAGTCCGCCTGACTCCCTTGCCACCTCCCAAGCATCTCCGAGAGACTTCTGGTCCCCTCCTCTCCAAACATTACTAGACTGAAGTTGTGGGCCCAAGACAGAGGGAATGAAGTTTTCAGCCGCGCCACAGATTTCTTACCCTCATCCCCACCCTGCAGGCAAAGTCAGCCCGAAATTTCGAAGTTGCTGTCTTATCAGTAGAAAGATGTTAAAGAAAAAGAAAAAGAAAGTTATCTTTCGTGGTGAAACTTGACTCGTCTGCTAACGGGGTGGTAGGGGACAGAAGAAGAAAATTTCTGTGACCGGCTTCTGGCACGAACGTTGCGTTTCTGCCTTTGGGGAGGGAAATCTCTTTCCTCTCGCATGGCTTTCATTTCTTATCATAATATTTATTTATTAAGGCCTGGGGTTTCCAATTCCATTTAAATCCAGGTCAGAATTGCATTAAAATAACAAAGTAAAATTCCAGGCTGGGGAACTCTGACAGATCCCTCTAGGAATTGAGAGAGACTGGGAGGCCCTCCTGCCCCCAGTCCCTGACCCCGAGCTCACTGCCCAGCCAGTCCCAAAGCTGTGCTGGCAGAAACCAGGCTGGTGTCCCACAGTTCTCTGGGGACAGCCGCCCCTCCTCCCCTGACCTTCTGCTGCACTCCTCCCCCGACACTGTCCTCACCCAAAAGAGATTTATATGCACAAAAAAGAAAATTCCTCCTTGGCCAGGTTTTGCCTGGGTGATAGGACTCTGCCTGTTGCCCTAGCTGCCCCTGAACGCAGGGCGGATGAGGAGGTGTCTAGGCTAGAAGGAAAGTTGAACTTGGAAGTGGAAGCAGTCGGGGTGTAAGAAAGCAGGTCACTGTGTCCCGGGGCTGAGCACTTGAGTCCTAAGCTGCTCTGTACCACCAGATGAGTTCCCACTGTGTTCATAGGTGCTATGTCAACACCACCCTCCTCTCCCTAAACACTGCCTCTGGACTCACCACCCTCTTCCCCACTCCAATCTGTCCTTTAACAGAACTAAACACTAGAGACCCTCAGCTGTCAAGTTCCAAACCCCACCCCCACCTCCTTCCAACCCCAAACTGCTGCTGCTTCTGCAGCCTGGGTTCCAGACAGCCCACCCCTGGGAACAACCCCTCTCCTCACTGTGGATTTGCTTGTATTTTCATAAACAAAGCTGGCTTTTGTAGTGCCTTCTGACTTACTCATAACATGGAATTAGCTAGGGAGTTTAGTCTGAAGGAAGGAACAGATTTCATGCAGTAATCTAGAGACAAGATAAGGGCCTCTTTCAAGTTGGAGCCAGTGTCTGCAGTGACCTAGTGAGACGGGGAGGAGGGCAGGAGGAGAGGCAGCCTCTCAAAAAGGTTTTGGGCACACGTGGAGACTCCTAAAAGGAACAGGTGCCATCAAACCAAGGCTCTCAAGCCCAGAGACCAGCCCATCTTCCATGGGCAGAAGTCAGAATATCTCCAGAGTACTCCAGGGCACCCATCTTTATTGCACACCCCACCGGGTACTGGGAGAACCGCAGCTGGAGTAGAGGCCCTACGCTTAAGGAGCATACAAATAGTTTTGTTCCTTGTCTATTCATGGGGTACACCTGAGTCTCTGCTGTCACTTGGCATCTTATACCTACCTTCCTGCCTTTTTCTCGGCCTCCTTCCCTGGTTAGGATTGCTAGTCTAGCTGGGATTAGAAGGGAGCCCCTCATTGACCCTACCATTCAGAAAATCTGTAAACCCCCTGTCCATCAGAGATTGCTTAACAACAGGTTTGCTGGTTTACAAAACTATCCTTGGACCCAGACTTGCAGGTAGATGCTTGGAGAAAGATGGGAACTATTTGGTCAAGGCCTTGCACAGGGAGGGTGCTGTGGGCTTCCAGGAGTCTTCCCTTGGCCCTCAGCAAATCTCCCATCAATCCTCACTGCTAGAAAGCTCACCTTTTATGTCACATGCTTTTCAGTGAATCTCCAGCAGGTCTTTAAAATACAAATACCCTGGGCAGGTATCTTACATGGAGTTACTGTTACCTCTGGGGACAGCTATATCTGTCACTTTTTAATCACATAGCCCACAGTGGGGTGTTAGTCATCTGGAATGGGGTAGAGGATAGGATCCAGGAATTGAGCCTAATCGCAAAGGTGAATGTGTGTGTGTGTGTGTGTGTGTGTGTGTGAGAGAGCGAGAGAGAGAGAGAGAGAGAGAGAGAGAGAGAGAGAGAGAGAATGAGACCACCATCACCCTGTTGGTGCATCCATGGGCAGCTGTGTCTACTGGGACCTAGTTCTTATCACAAATGCTGAAGGTTGTGCATCCATGAGAACCGTCTGGATGAGTAGGTGGGTCGGCCCGTGCGGCTGGGACTGAGTGAGCATGAAGGGTACACGGTTTTGAGTGTTTTTCAAGTGCCTGTCTGTGTATCTTAAAGTAGACAGACTGGATAACTAAGATAATTGTTAACTTAAAAGCATTAATTTGCTTTGCTTTTGAGGGGGGGGCGGGAGTGGAAGGACAGCCACGGTTAAAAAGACCTAATCCTTGCTTAGGGCTCAGGTTACAGCTGAATGAAAAGGTCTCAGGGCCTCCAGGAGAACTACTCGGTACCTAGGCGGGCTCTGGGACAGCCAGCCTGGCCGTTTCCTTTACCTGGTAGTTTTCTTTCTTCATTAGGGATAGAGTTTTGATAAAGTCACCTATTTAGAAATCATACCATCCCTGAGACTGAGAGCGTTCATCTGGCGGCGAACAGTATCTCTCTGTCTCCTTCGGTCTCTCCGGGTCTCTGTCTGGGTGTATGTGTCTCTCTCCTTTTCCCCACCCCTCTCTTCCTCTTTAATGTGGCTGTTTCCTCTCCTCCCGGCTTTCCTCAGCTCCTGTGGCCAGCTCTTACAGTGAGGGGACTGTTCCTCCTAGCCCCTCCCTCCAAAATATGAAATGAAAACCATACCCATGTCAGTGGGTGAGGGTGGCTCCTTGGGCAGCCGGATACTGCCTGTGCCCCAACCAGGCCGTACTGAGGAGAGAGAGCAGAAAGGTGGGACTATGAGACCCACCCCACTCTTGGAGCCTGAAGTTTATAATCAGTTTCCCCTAAGTGCATCTCTCATTTTTTTTCAGAAGGATGGACTACTTAGAAAATCCTTAGACATCCCTTTGACCTCTCCTCTCTGTGGCATGTTTCAGGTGGGGAGAAGCCCAAAGCTAGGAGGACACTCATGGTTTTGATCTCCACTCCTCGCCTCTCATCATCCCCTGGAGTCTCTGCAGGGTGGAATGAGAGGGAGGGGACTGGAAGACAGAGACCACAGCCACGGCAGGTATAGAGGAGGAAGAAGTTCCTCAGGAGTCCTCAGATGAGATTGTTTTCTGGAAATTTCTGGAATCTGGGCATGAGAACCCGTTTGAGATGTGAGTGTTGGGGACCTGGTTGTAAAAGGAGCCAGGTCTGGTGTGAGTTTGGGAATGTGAGGTGTGCATTCACTGGAGTGTGTGTGGGGTGTATGAGCATGCATGTGCACGACTCTGTGTGTGTGTGTGTGTGTGTGTGTAGCACTCCGGTGAGAGGAGAAAAAGGAAGTGGGCAATGTGCGTTTTGTTTTACTTGAAGAAGGAAGTGGAGTGGCTTGGTCCAGTGCCTTGAACTGAGGGTGGGGGAGGGGAGCACATGGCTTCAGACCCTCTGGAGAAGATGGAGGTGGAGGAGCTTGCTACTGGAATCCTCCCCAGTCCCTGCCTCCCACTCCAGGGTGCGGGTGTGGGCCTCTATACCCCTAGCACATGACTACTCAATAAGAAAGAGTCCCTGTCAGGGCTGGAAACTGTGGAGTTGCTCTGAGGCTGGCAGTGATTGCAAGAGGCCCAGACCTGGGGACAGCTTCTTCAAGCTCCATGGCAAGACAGGAGTCTGGAAAGGAGCAGACTGTTAGACCCATGGTGGTAGGGGTGGTGATGAAAGAGCTACTCACCTGGGCAAAGAGGGGGGGTGGACTCCCCTCTCTGTCTCCTCCTCACCTACTGCCAGACTCAGCTGGTGCTAGGGGGGGTAGGAGTTGCAGTGCAAAAATGAGTTTTGACAAACACAAAGCCTAGTGATTGTGGCCTCTGAGGGAATCACTGAATTCTCTTCCTTGTTTGTAAAAACCAGCCAGGCACCTTGCAGCTCTGATTCCCCGTGGTTCACTGAAGTACTGGTGAGCCTCGGTCCTGGGGCTGCACCTTGCGCTGGTTCCTCACCCGAAGGCCAGGCTTGCTGGAGGCTATTTCACTTGGCTACTTTTCCTTTCTTCCCTTGCTTTGGTTTCCTGGGGTGCTGAGTATCTAACAGTTCTGAGTCCTTAGATGAGTGCCTACCCTGGGAACAAATGCAGAAGCCCACGCACATGTTTCTGTGAATGAGCACGGTAGAGAGCTGGGGAAGAGAGCCAGTGGCTCTCAGGGCTGGACCAAGGGTGTTGCCCTTGGCTCTCTGTGTTCCTGTCCAGCCTTGTCCTCTCCCTCCTCGGATCAACGCCTCACTCTGAGTTGCCATTGGATGATAGCTGGGTTGCAAAGGTGACCCTCTAAAGCAAGGCTTTGGAATCCTTGGCTTGCCTATGGCTTTTTCCCTGTGGCTGAAACCCTAGCCTCAGAGAGCCTTTGAATTTTAGAGCTTTGTGCCAGGGGCTGCCCAGGTCTGGTCGCTGATGGTGAGCTAGGGGAAGACCCAGGCCAGGAGTGCTGGCCCAGAGGAAGGCATGGGATAAGAAAACAGACCTAAGGAATCCCTGGGTGAGGTGCAGCATCAGGCTATGTGGGCGTTGGGGGGAGGGCTGTGGAAGGATGGGATGCTTAAAGGGTAGACCCTGGGGAGCAGGTTTACAGAGAGGACGTTTTTACAAGTTTCTAATTATATTTATTTGGAGTTTTCCTCTGGCGGTTTGAAGCTGTTAACAGCAGGAACCTGTATCCCTGGTGTTTGTTTTTGTTTCTAACCAGCTGCCTGGCCCCAGAGTAGTGAATCCAAGGGCAGGCAACACCTGCCCATTGCTGAACTGCCCACCCTTTCCTTTTGCGAGTGTGTCTGCCCCTCCCTGTCTACTCTTCTACCCTGTGCCCCTCTTCTGCCTCAGAGCATCCATGGTTGGCTCTTGACATCCAACCAGACTCACCCAGATTCCAGTTCCATTCCATCCGATGGCTCCGTGTTGGATGCTTGGGGCCAGGGGATGCAGAGATTCCTCTCTCAAACACTTAAAGACAGTGCATAGATCTGAGTCCTGTCTTCACGCTACTTGTTTACTCTTTCCAAAGATAACCTTACTGGGCTTTAATTTCCTCATTCACTTAATAAGAGGTACCTGCAGCTACCCCAGAGGACATCAGGAGAACCCAAGAACCCACCATTCACTGTCCCAGTCCTGTATTCCCTGTATTCATCAAATAAATGCCTCTACGTGGGTACTATTCTGAATTCCATGTCTTTTTGCTCT